TACTTCTTTTAGGGAGGAGCTATCTTTTACAGAATAAATTAGAAAAGTCAATGTCAGGGAAACCGCAGAAAAGTTTGTTACTCACTACTAGAAATGTTAAGGTTGAAAGGTTACTTGAGAAAAGGTCTTAATTATTCTTTATATTTCAATAACTTGTGTATTGTTTTTGTTTTTGTTTTTTTTGTCAGTCAGGACATTCATCTTGCTAAAAGGTTTTATGACATGGCAGCTCAGACCAGCCCTGATGCCCAGGCCCCTGTCTCACTTGCTCTTTTGAAGTTAGGCGTGTTTTTTACGTGGGAGTGGATTCAAGAGGTATCAGAGGAAAAATTGCTTCTAACTTTTATTTTCAGCAATTCGCCTTTTCACGTCGAGAAATTTTGTCTCTCAAAGTTGCACGTATAGACAGCTTTCGTGAAATTTCTCCCAGATGTTTTTAAAAATAGTAAAGGCAGTATTGAAAGATGTAAAATGTACTGTAAATGTTAATAATAATGATAATAATAATAATAATAATCAACTTTATTTAAAGAGGGCAAAACACTTAACAGTATAAAACTGACAAACCAGTGGCCCTCAATGTTACATGTACATTGTTCAAAAGATCTCAGAATAGCCATCGAACTTTAGGGCTGCCGAACTTAAGCCCTCGGTTAGTGGAGACAAGCAGAAAAGCAGACGGGTGGAAAATGGTAGGAATTTCGGGGGGAAAGTTAAAAACAAAACTCTTATTTTCCGCTTTCGTTTCCCTAGACATCTGCTACGCGTGGTTCGCCTGCCATTCCGCTCATCTCCTTTGACCGAGAGAGCCTGGAATAGCCAACCGCGATTATGAACAGTTAGTGATCGACTGGCCCGGACTAATCTCTCAGATCTCCAAATTAAAATGTCTCTAAATATTTTTCTCATTTTATTGTCTTTTTTTTTTCTTTGTTTTGTTTTGTTTTTGTAGAATTACGGATCACTGAACTTGTCAAAGGTTACCAACTTTATTGGCGACGACTGGGATATTTATGTCCTGACAGGACTTGCTCTCCTGTTTGGAATTCTTTTTCTCCTTCGAAGGAGACAATAAACACCTTTTGTAGATTTTGTACAGTAATCGTAGCTCGCGTGGCAATGCATTAAAAATTGATTTTAAAAGTAATAAAATATTCCACCCTCTTACTAAAACATCGGGTTTCCTTTGGTTGTGCGAGTTTCTGTGTACCGTAACAAGGTTTATGATGGAAGAAAATGATATCCTGGAATGTTATGAATGCGGAAATTTAAGGCAGAATTTACAAGCTGAATCATCTCTCGTTATGCCACTGCAATTATGATTTAGTTATCCTTCAATATGTTTTTCCAGAAACACTGCATGACCACTCGAGAGTTTTAGCTGAGAATTTTCTTATCACTGAGAACAACTTCATGGCTCTTTTTTCTTTTACAAAATTGTTTATTTTCCTTTGTTTCAAACTCGTTATCGTACATTCATGCAAACCGAAATTAGAGGGAAACTAAAAAATGAGGCATAAGAAAAATTGGACTGAAATATTTTTACACTCATTTACCACAAGAGAAAAATAAGAAAAGGGTTTACTTGTCAGCTTCCTAGTCATTAATTGAATCACAATGGCATCAAAGTCCTGTCTGAAGCTGTATCAACTACTTGTATCAATGTTCACGTTTTTCGTACGCTTTCTTTGGCGTTCAACTCTACAAAGTTCAATGTTCAGGTACCAAGAGCTCACCTAAATATGGCATACTTGCTTGAAATAATGACCGAATAAAACTTAACACGGATCTCAAATCGCGATTAAAGCGGATGCTATAGATAAAGTCAAATATGCACGAAAATAATCAAATGACAGACCACTGATCTCATTCATTCGTTATGTTCGTCCTCCAGTTCTCTGAAATCCAGCGTGACGTCATCACCAATGATCACAAATGGAGCCCAGTTCTTTGGAGCGCTAAACTTCTCAGATTCTCTAAGGCATTTCATAGCTTTATTGATAGCTGCACTAGCAGTGTCGCCATCCTTGAGATGTTGATAGAAAGCTTTCATAAACTCCTTTGTGGCCTCGTCACCAATTGCCCAGAGTGACGCCAGAACAGAGCGAGCACCAGAGCCCAAGAGAGCCCATGCCATACCGACCACTCCTTCGGCAGAAACTTTCCCGCGACCACTGTGACAGCAGCTGAGCACAACAAGTCTTGCTCGGATCTTCAGAGCCTGGATGTCTGACATTTTCAGCATGTAATCTTCCTTCTCCGGCTTCTTGTTCTTCCTTGAAGGGTTTGGAGCCAAACAAATCTCACCTGTCTCCGCACTTCCATGAGCTGCAACGTGGACCAAAGCGACAGAAGTGATTCGTTTCAGTACCTCGTCTTTAGTCGCGTCCTTTCCGATGAGTGGAGTGGCATCAATAATTTCTCCGATCATCTGCACTTCCTTTTCCGCGTGAAGCAGAGTTTGAAACCAAGGCTTCCCACGGAGCTCTGTTATCTCCTCCACACACGGATTACCTACAAGCAGCGCCCCGCTCTTACAATGGTAGTCTTCAGGACAATCTTTGATTAATTTCAAACTGGTCAGTGACGGAACGATGCGGATCTTAAACGATTCACTGAGGTACTTTGAGTCTTCATCGAGAAAGCCAGCAAAAGGAACCTGACATAGTAAACCATCGGGAACAATGACTAATTCATCACCTTTCAAGTAGTTGGAAATGGGGCCGATAACAACGTCATACAACAGTCGTAAGGAATTCCTTTGACTTTCTGGCAACTTGGACATTCCATGACAAGTTTCTTTGTCCTGTGGTGTTTCATCTCTGGGTGCATCAAGAAGAAGGCGGTCCTCTGACGGTGACACTGACATTTCATGACGAGATTCGTCTTCTTGCTGCGATAGATCTGGCCTCCATGCATCCAAAGAACGATCCTCACAGATAACTCGAGCAGCAAACTCATTCTCTTTCAAAGCTGCCCCCGTCAAACATTCTAAGCAGAATGGACAGAGATCATTCTCGAACCCGTAAACGTGGTTTGCGTTTTCATGTCGAAATTGAACATCGTTGTCGTTACAGGCCAGCCAGATATTAATGCATTTGTTTTCAAGTGCAATGAAAATGGTTTGTGCGGAAACCAAACGTGCTATGTCAGGCTCTGTTGTCCTGGGAGGAGGACATTCCATTTGATACTGTTGCTTCATGTGATCGAGTAAGACTTGTGCTCGTCCTTGATCAGCAACACACAAAGCCTCGCCAAATTTTGAAAGTTTCAGCAAAGTTCTGCTCAGGGCATTGTACGTACCCTGATGCGAATTTCGGATGCATATTTTGTGAGCATCCTCAGCCTTAATAATGTCCCTCATATCATTGAAAAGCCTTTGAGCGGATCGATAATAATCCACAGCTTCATGTAAGAAATTGAACTTTTCCATAGTGAGTCCAAGGAAATAATTCGCCGATTGCTCGCAACTTTTATTTCCCCTTTCAATTGCAATGGCAAGACTTTTCGTACAGCAGTTAGTAGCTTCCTTAAAATTATTGAGTTCACGATAGGCTTCACCCAGAGAGTGGTAGCCACATCCTTTTTTCAAATCAGACTCAACTTCATTGGCGATTTTAAGAAATAGGCTGAAGTATTCAACAGCTTCCATAAAATCACCTCGCTGCAAATAAGCCCGGCCGAGACCGAAATAGGACTTTCCCTCTGCCTGCTTATTCTTAAATTCTTTGGCAAGGACAAGTTGTTCGTCGAAGTATCTTTTAGCTGTGCTGAACTTACCAAGTCGGAGATAAACAGTCCCGAGGGCGTGGTAAGCCCGTTGTTCATCTTCACGGTCACCTGCGCCGTCTTTCAAGATGTCAAGCCATTGCATGAAGTACTTTTCAGCTTTTTCATCATCTTCGAGATCCATGCAAATATGGCCAAGGGCATGTTTAGCCTTTCCTTCCTCAGCTTTATTCCCAGTTTCTTTGGCAATGATCAGACTTTGCTCGAGGTACTCTAGGGCTTGCTCGTAATCATAGAGGGCTTGAAAACAATCTCCAAGCGATCTGTTCACATTTCCCTCTCCATCTCTGTACCTCAATTCTTCGAAAATAACAAGAGACTTGTTGTTATTGAGTTTTTTGTTGTGCGCTGAGGCTTCTTTATTATCAGCCAGGTTCTTATGATAATGGCCAAGTTGTTGGTTTGCTCGAACCTTTTCATCTCTGTCCCTTAGTTCTTTGGAAATAACAAGGGACTTATTGAAGTGTGCTATGGCTTGTTGATAATCACCGAGGCCTTCATAACATCTGCCAAGGTTGATGTTTGCACGTCGCTCTTCGTCTCTGTCCCCTAGTTCTTTGCAAATAATGAGGAATTTGTTGAAGTACGCCGTGGCTTCTTTATTCTCAGCCAGGTTCTGATGACAATGGCCAAGGTGGTGGTTTGCACATTTCTCTCCATCTCTGTCTCCAAGTTCTTTGGAAATAATAAGGAATTTGTTGAAGCGCACCATGGCTTCTTTGGTATTAGCCAGGTTCTTATGACAATGGCCAAGTTGGTAGTTTGCATATTTCTCTCTAGCTCTATCGTTTAATTCTTTGGAAATAATAAGGAGTTTGTTGTAGTGTTCTATGGCTTGTTTATAATCGCCGAGGTCGCCATAACAAGAGCCAAGGTTATTATTTGCATGTCGCTCTTCATTTCTGTCGCCAAGTTCTTTGCAAATAATGAGGAGTTTATTGAAGTGCACCATGGCTTCTTTGGTATTAGCCAGGTTCTGATGACAATGGCCAAGTTGGTGGTTTGCACATTTCTCTCCATCTCTATCATTCAATTCTTTGGAAATAATGAGGAGTTTGTTGTAGCAGTCTATGGCTTGTTTATAATCGCCGAGGTTTTGATAACAAGAGCCTAGCTTGTCATTTGCATGTCCCTCCTCATCTCTGTCTCCAACTTCTTTGGAAATGATAAGGAATTTATTGAAATGCACCATGGCTTCTTTGGTATTAGCCAGGTTCTGATGACAATGGCCAAGTCCGTGGTTTGCATGTTTCTCTTCAGCTCTATCGCTTAATTCTTTGGAAATAATAAGGAGTTTGTTGTAGTGTTCTATGGCTTGTTTATAATCGCCAAGGCTTTCATAACAAGAGCCAAGTTTGTTATTTGCATGTCGCTCTCCATCTCTGTCGCCAAGTTCTTTGCAAATAATGAGGAATTTATTGAAGTGCACCATGGCTTCTTTGGTATTAGCGAGGTTCTGATGACAATAGCCAAGTTGGTGGTTTGCACTTTTATCTCCAGCTCTATCGCTTAATTCTTTGGAAATAATAAGGTGTTTTTTGAAGTAATCTATGGCGTGTTTATAATCAGCTAGGTTTTCATGACAATGGCCAAGTCGGTCGTTTGCATATTTCTCTTTATCTCTATCGCTTAATTCTTTGGAAATAATAAGGAGTTTGTTGTAGTGTTCTATGGCTAGTTTATAATCTTGGAGTTCGTAATAAGCATCTCCAAGACTGCAAGACACTTGTCCTTCGTAAGCTCTGTCGTGTTCTTGTCGGGCAACCTTTAGACTGCGCATAAAGTTATCTGTGGCTTGGTTAAAATCACTAAGCTCTGCATACGCTCGGCCACGATTATTGTAATAGATCATCTTTTCTTTCGTATCGCTGCTAAGCTTCGCACCGACCAGATCTTGCTTTCGTTGCTCTAGCAGTCCAGAATTTGTCTCTGCCATGTTTCAACGTGCCCCTTATCTTGTATAAGACTGAGAGAAGATACATGATAAAGTATAGTGAGTATGTTAAAGTAGATATTAACTTTTTACTGAACGCAATTCCAAGCTTAATTAGCGGTAGCCTCAAGTGAGTAAAGGCAAATACGAGGAATATAAATTGCCCGCTGAAAATTTAAAAACTATAATCACTGCAAAGGACGTAGCACTATCGATCGAGCAGAACTGACGTAAATCGAGAGGAAAATAGAGACAAAACTAAAATCAATGATAGACTCTATCTTTAAGGTTCTTTCATGAGATGCGAATAATTAGTTTCACCCCGTCAAATTCTACCAGTATAAATGTGAACGGTGTTCTCATCTAAAACCGCAATATGAAATAACAATCAGCTTTTTTTTATTCTTATAGTTGCTTAAGGCCTCTCTGGAAACTATAATACTATCTTAAAACGCTACCGAAAGACAACATGAAATGACTGAATCAGCTTTCAAGCTTATTACCTACCAAGAATCAGACGCTTTGAATCAAACCTCCAGATGAAGGGTTGTTTCCTCAAAATTGTAACTCGGACCAGTCAACAATATTGAAATTCACCAGACGAAGACTTAGTACAGCTTATCAGTTCTTGCGTTATCACAGTTTTATAATGACAATGTCGGAAAGTAAAATACTTTTATTTTTGTCAAAGGAAGCCATTTTTCCTAATTTGACTGGGCTTACTTTCACACTGAACTACCTAAATTTCAGTTCCTTACATATCGTTTCCTGACACAATTGTAAATATGTAACGCGTTCTTTCATGTTTCTTACTGGCTTCGGTATTTTCACGTTTTCGAGTGTTTTCATGGTCTTGGTGCAGGGTCAAAGAATTTCGGCCTTACAATTCTTGCTGTCTAGCAACTTCAACCAGAAACTGATAATACGTATGCTAAGAACTAGGAAACTGTGCTGAGAAAAATAATTTTACACAGGGGTGTCATCTGTTATTTTATGGATAAAAACAAAATTAGTTCCTTTCATTTTCAATTGTCAAAATGGATCGCCGGAAAGACAATCTGAATCACACGTGCACGTGCGTTAAACATTGCGCAAACAAATAAAGGGTAAAATTTTCAGAATATAAGAGATTTAATTGTCGAATAAGAAAATAATTAAGTTACTTGCCTGAAGCCGGGAAGAAACAAATCTTTGAACTTTTTCTAAGCTGTTGCATACAGTATTTTCCCCAGCCCAAGACTCCCTTCTCCGATACTCAAAAGCGCCGGCCTGGTGAATAGTTCCCCTGGTTCTATCATTACAATATCCAGCGAACACGTGATGAGAAGAAACACGCTCATCAGCCTAACGATTTCTCTTGATAAGACACCGAATTTTCACAAGTGATTTTCAGGAAATGTGTAGCAGCTAGAAAGGAGAATTAAAATAATATTAAAATAACAATTACGACCAAAAACATTTCGCTTTGATCCCATGTAGAAAACGCTTGCCAAAAACCAAAACAAGAACGCACATGTCAAAGGCTATAATTATGTCTGAATCAAAACACTTCAATTTCAGTTTCTGATAATTCTTTCTGATGAATGGAAAAAAATTATGGTTACAATTATTGCGTCGTTGATTTGTAATTGGGAGATGACAAAACGCGGAGTACCCTATGGAGTACCTTAATGGAGTACCCCTAAAAGTCATGTATTGGTCAAATAAAATATTTCATGAACATGGTGAATCGTTTAGATGTACATATCCTAAAATATATTGAGCTTACCAGCTCTCTGAGTGTCACAGTTCGATACAATCCAGTTTTTTGGGGGAGAGGTGACTAGGTCTCCCAATCTTACTGGTTCCTTCATTTTGGTTTTACCGCTGTGTCAGGATGAGTCCTTTGACGAGAAGACAAACAACTCCATGTGATGAACAAAACCCACTGTTTCGATTTCTACACAAGGTAAAATATTTAAGCTTACTGCATTTCCCAGATCAACAACCCCAGTCGGATTTATTTGCCGACCCGTCACTTTTTTTTTGGTTTGTTTAAATACCTCAATTTTATTTCGCTACAAATAGATGGGTGTGGAGAAGCTGAGTTTAAAGATAGGGATTACCTTTTTAAGTCTCAACCTACAAATGTAAGCTTCATCCTCATCGTTTCGCACATTTAAGAACCCATGAGGCTATGTGTTACTAGATGGAGCGCCACACTTCTTACAGACGCCACACATAAACTGGTATTTTGGAAGACGTAAAACCCGTTGCAGAATGAAGGTTGTCCCTCCTTTTGGCCTCTTGAAGATCATATGAAAATAGATGGCAGTCGGCCTATTAACGATAACGTTCATGGATGCTAGCTACATTAAAGCTTTCCGTAGGAAGTGGTCAGGTTAATGTTAATTTCAAGATGGCGGTCAATTCGTGTACTACATCGAACTGCGACAATCGGAGAGCTGACAAGCTCAAAATTTATCGGGACATGTAAATCTAAACGATTCACCATGTTCATAAAGTATTTTATTTGACTAATACAGGATTTTTAGGGGTACTCCATCCAGGTACTCCATAAGGTACTCC